CGATAAAAGTGATAGATTCTCCAATGAATCTATGTGTGATCAGCATGTTCAGATGATCATCTCTGTAATTAGTATAATAGAGGTCTATCATTCTTGGAACCAAGTTGGGTGTTTGAGAGAATAGATGCTCCATAAGTGTATTGGATTGTTGGTATTGTAATAGTTCACAATTCATTTCCATAAAACGAAAAGACATTTGAATGCTTTATAACTTTACAAACACACACAGATTGTTAGAACTAAAATAATCTAATCCAGATTCTTGATTCTCCATACTTTTCTTCCTATAAAGGAATTTAATTACATCACTAACCCAACTCAGAACCATCAAAATCCAACACAATTAAAAAAAAAATTGAAATCCCAGATGAATCATAACTTTGAAGGAAAAAAAAAGTATTGGCAAAGTAAACTAATTGGGTTGTAAATGCTTCCAATAGTATCAAATATTTGGATTGTATTTATGTATGTCTTTTGGATGGAAGTTGTGTTGCTTTATGGTGATTTTCATAGGAATTGTTGATGTTTATATAATATATTTTTTGTAGTTTGAATAGCTTACAGGAAAGTTTATTCCAAAAATAAATGTGAAAGTCAGATGTAGACTGACCTTTTACACTTTTTTTTGTTGGTGTGGGTGGTTCAAATTTCGGCCTCCCACTTGAAGAACCAACTGCAATAGTTGTTGCCATCACCCCCACGTCACTTATTCCCAAATGCCTGTTCTTTTTGAAATTCCTGTCAGTAGTGCTGGGCGGAAGAGTCTGTTCCTTTTCCACGTATGAAAGAATGGACAAAGTTATATGTGTGTTATTTTAGTTTCCCCAAGATGACTTCCTTAACTGAATTTGAAATAGTTTGTTCGACAAAATCTCATGGACATGATTAACACACAATGATTGCCTTTGTAAATATAAAGAGTCAGGAAAAACTCTTTAGAAATAAGCATATATTCTAAACTGTTTCTGATCAAGATATATGGTGTTGCAACAATAGACGTGTAGAAGTAGCCATCGGAAATGACAGATCACCTTAGCGCAAGTTATGCCAAATATGTCTTTCGTCGTCATAGAGAGCATTCAAGTACACAAAACTTGTGCGCTTCTTCTGTTTGCAGCCTGGGCATTCAAGTACACAAAACATTTGCAATTCATTTGATATTGCCATTTCTCCCTCAACATAGAAGAGTCCCATCTGTCGAAAAATATCACATACATTATACGTGTTAAATTACTCATGAATAAATATAATTTATTTTTTTATTTAGCCAAAGCTAGACAACCAGAAAATTAATAAGCATACTCTTAAATGATCGGCTTGAAGTATGACTTACAGAAGCTGGTGATGAAATTTCTGCAATAGAGATAACCTGTCGGCCGGTACGAGTCACCACCATAGGAGGGGCAGATGAGCTTGTTGAGGTTTTTTCTGACGCACGACTTAATAACATTGTTTTGTTTCCTTTTGCCCTATGGTTACACCTAATAATATGTTTAGTAGGTTCTTTAAATGCAAATTAAAGCTAGAGAATAATGATGAAATGTGAGTACCAGTTGATGAGTTCTACTGCCTGTGGGTAAGTTGGATCCACACGTATTGTGGAATTGAACCTATTCTGCAGTGACAGCCCTGTATAACACATAACTTATATAACGTTTTGTTATTTTCGAAAATTATGTTGGTAAAAAGTTCAGCCCGTATGTACCTTGATAATTATCAGTAGATATTCATATACGTACTCCTTCCAAGGATTACAATAAGATCTGCATCTGTTTCCATTTTAGCTTTAATTTCATTTCCTTATATTTCTCCAAAATCCTCCCATAGAGTGAGGAGAAATTGATTTTTCCCGAGAGCGTGAAGAGAGAAGATTAAGTACCATGATAACGACCAGACGATAACTGATGATCCGATCAAACAAATAAAAAAATGTTTACTTATTCAAAATCTTTTCATTAAATGAGAAAATATAAGGTGAAATGTTATACTTACTGATTGTCACAAATGGTAATTTCTCGACACTTATATGACTGTGACCTGCATATTTTTTAGGACCATAACGAAGAACGATTGTTAGTATATTTGCTTATATAATACATAATGAAATGTTATAAGTGTGTGTATTAGTAAACATGTATATTTTAGCATGATAATAGCTATTAGGATCAATATACCAATTTCAGCAATATAATCAACGATCATATAAGGAATGCGGTCAAAGGTTGTGATATTCAGCTTGGTTGGTGGTGGAAGCGGTTTCTCAAGTTCGTTAGATGGTTTGACATGTTCAATTACTATTTCTTTGTCAAGAACCCAGTAAAATTTACGTATTGGCTTGCCGTATGAAGTTGACGAGACTTTAATTCTTGCGGTAGAAATGAGATAGGTATCCATGAATGTAAGCTTATCTGCGTACTGTTCAATTTCGTCGACATACATAACTGCCTTAATGTGGCATTCTTGAAAGTAAGAGTTATAGAAAGCTGAGATTATACTACTCAACAATGCAAATAAAGTCTAACTCTAAGCACTTATAAACAGGAAAATCGAGGAAAAATGTTCAGCAGAGGTAAAAAGAATATTCATGAGATAAAATATAATGAGCTCACCTCTTCATTTTCCAAAATCAAATTTTGGAATCTACATTTCTTGTCATGACTTTCTCGCGGGAGTCCGATTTCCACAATTTGAACTTTGCAAATCCAATCTCGTGTGTCAAATGCTATTTGATCGATGTTCAATCTTAGTACCATGTCTGTATGAAATATATTTAACCAAACAGTAGTATCTGCATGATAACATCACTATTGAGTCAAAGTTTTTTCTTTTTTGTAGTTGCATGAACATGGGCGATTAAATTAGGAACATGCAAGGACATAATTACCCTCCACATACTGAAAAATCAGAAAATGTAATGAAAACACAATATGAATACTTCGAATCAAATTAGGAACATGCAAGAATATAATTATCCCTAACATGCTGAAACATTAAAAAATATAATAAATACCCCCAAATCTGTCTACTGAGTAATAAAATTGGAATGTAAAGTGAAAATAACACCTCTAATTTTGTTCCATTTTAATTTTCTACTTTGGTGACAACCAAAATCTGCAAGAAAAATTGAAAATGGGAAGAGGAAAAACAGGAAAAGGGCAAAAAATATCAGAGAAAGGGAGCAAAAGTTTTTCATGAATGGAAGCATAATAAATTTGTGTTCTATGAGTAATAAATATATATAATACAAAGAAGACACGTCATAGTATAAGTATATGTGTCTTCTTAAAACTTGGTGGGGGGGTTTGATAGCCAATGAAGTTGTGCCAAAAAAGAGAAAAAATTATTACATTTCATAGTAAAATTTGAACCGGCTTTGGTCTAATTATTTAGTGATGTGTCTTCTGACAATTTGATGAGTTTTGAAAGCGAATGTAATTGTGCCAAAAAAGAGAAAAAGTTATTACATTTGACAGTACAATTTGAACAGCCTTTGGTCCAATTTTTTTTTGAACTCCATAATTACATAACTTATGATTTTAAGATGTTATTCACAATATAATTTAAACAACTTTTGATCCAAGTTTTTTGTTGAACTCCATAATTACGTAACTTATGATTTTCAGATGTTATTCACAGTACAATTTGAACAGCCTTTGGTCCAAGTGCTTGTTCATCCTTTAGAAGTCCCCTAAAATTAATGGTAAAATTACATAGTTGCCCTTGTGAGTCCTTTAAAAGTGCCACTTCTAAATAAGAGTAATTTATAATTTTGGAAGCAAAGAGTTAGTATCTTATTATATAATATGTAAAATGTTTTTTCAAGTTAATAAAATGTTAGTGATTTGTTACAATAGAATATGTTTGTTCTTATTATCGAAAATATATTAATAGATAGTAAGTTTTAAATAGATTAGTTCAAAAATTTTAAAATATCAAACAAAGTTCTATTACCTTTTCACTAAACATATAATGTTATCACTAGAATTAATAATATATTTTATCTAAATAATTTGTGTTGATTTTCTATTTGAATTAAGTATGTTTATTTTTTGAATTGAAGAGAGTAACTTTTGCAGTTGGTGTAGCCGTGTAGGTAACTTTTTATATAGCGAGATAAAATATATTTTTAATATAAAGAGGAAATAAGATGAGAGTGATATTAATATAGATTAGCTGAGAATCGGTAAGTCAACATTTATAATAGAGTAAATTTTAGGTTTAGGAAACATAAAAATCATATTTGTATACTATAGCTATAGTTTGTATAATTGCGCTCCACAACAAACTTTATGTTTGTTATGACTATTAATATGTATATTTCGGTATACATATACGAATATGACTATTAATATGTATATTTCGATATGAATATACGAATGACTATTAATTTGTATATTTTGGTATACATATACGAATATGTCTATTAATATGCATATTTCGATATACGTATACGAATCAATTGTATAATCTGTGTTTGTATAAAGCGAGAAAGAGAGAAAAACAAAAGAAAACAGGATAGTGAAAAGATCTGTATTTGTATAATTATAAGTGTATATGACGAAAATATATGTATTTGTATTTGTATATACAATTTTCTCTCGCTTTATACAAATAGAAACACAATTTATACATTTGTGTTCGTATAAAGTGAGAGAGGCGATGTGAGCGAGATCTGAGAAGGTGAGCGAGATTCGCTGGGCAGAGAGGCGAGTGGCAAACAATTTTCTATGAATTAAAATTAAATGAAACCGTTGTATAACATTAAATTTAAATTAATAATTTGCTATTTCATATAATTTTTCCTTATAAATCAGTGGCTGTGAATGGTAATTGTTCAAAATTAAAGTGGGCCGCATCAAACTAAGCCTCATCAGAACTAGTCCAACGTTGAGGTTTATCTATCCCAGCCCAGTCCACTTTGAAAGAATATGAAATTAGGGTTTAAGAGTCAGGTTGGGTTGCTAGTAGCTATAAATAACCTTATGGTGTTATAACGAATGTATATTAATTTGCGCTGTTTTCTTCGCCGGCCGCCGCCTCAATTTGGTGCTTCTTTTTATTGATTACGATTTTTGTTTGAAGCTTTTTTGTTCATTGAAATCAGGTGATGAGAAAAAAACTGCAACAATATGATGGTAAATTCCATGATTCGTAGTATTTAAGTCTCTGATGATTTCTTTATATATCTGTAACAGAATTAGATTTTGGTGTTAGATTAATTTCTGGAGTTTTGTTGTTTTGGTTATAGTATTTGGGAGATATGATGAACGAAATTGGTCCGTGTTTCTGATTGAACAGTGACAGATAACACCTTTCTTTTTTACTCTACTGATCTCTCATTATTATTGAGTATTATTTTATATTTTTATATTTTATTGCCAGATTTGTGAAAAATAGCTCAGTGATTGTATGCCTTGTGGCAATATACGCTATACCGATCTAAAGCATGAGTAGATAAAAAAATTTCAAGTATGAGAGCTATTTGTATTTTCCTATTTGAAACTGTTTTAATGTGAATTTTTTGAAAATTATTTGGGTCTTCTGCTGTGATGAATTCATGAAAATTTCACATGTCAGACTTCAGAGAGAAATCTATGAGAAGATATTCATGTATCTGAGCAAAATTTACACTTTTTATAGTTTTACATCACATTATACCATTGATTGTTTGCAACTTATGTGTTTACATGATTTAAATTTTTGCTAATGGTTATGAATCACAGAAATTCCTTTGCTAAGTTTTGGATGTTGTTAATTATGGCTTCACACAAGAGTCTGCAGCAGGTGCCTGTTAATGGTAACCCGTCTGCCGCATGAAGCCTAAACAAATCCAAGATGAAGATCCATTAGAGTTAATTGTACTCTCTTGACACAATATCTTGGATATATTTATATATATACACTGTTTTCAATGGCATATCTCAGACAACGGGTATTTTCTTCTTATTTCTATGAGAAACTACCTTTTGCACGGTGCCTAGATAACGCTACTTATCACGATTGGAGGATGTTAATTTTTATCCCCAGCATTCCTTCAAATTAATAGTAGTCAAATTATTTTAAGCATTGATGAGATAGCGAACATGTAAGGAGATCTATTTTAAGCTTGGATCAGCTTGGATCTTCAATGAAATTTTCTTGTTACGCTTGGCTTCTGAGCTTTCTACTCTTGAACTTGAACTTACTTTTTAAAAAACCTGATTAAAAAAGCAGGGATCTATTGCCTTCTTTGTGAATGGGTCTCTCGTAAATGTCAGGGATATCAAGAATTGCATTGTTATTGGGTGAACCACTTGACTTAATTTATGATGGAATGGTTCAGTAAACGATGATACATTATTATTTAGGTCAATTTTGTATTAGATGTATCTGATTTAGTCATTTAACAATTGTCGAAGAATCTGAAATACTTGAATTAGTACAATTTTACTGGATGATAAAATCGAAATCAGATGATGAGAAAAAAACTGCAACAATATGATGGTAAATTCTATGATTCGTAGTATTTAAGTCTCTGATGATTACTTTATATATATGTAATATACTTTGGATTTGGCGTTAGATTAATTTTTGGAATTTTGATGTTTTGCTTGTAGTATTTGGGAGATGTGATGAATGAAATTGGTCCGTGTTTCTGATTGAACAGTGACAGATAACACCTCTTTTTTTTACTCTTCTGATCTCCCAAATTTTTCTATTACACTTTTTAGTCTTTTTTTTTTAGATTTGTGAGATACAGTAGCTCAATGATGGCATGCCTTGTACTAATATATCATGTGACTAATGTGATTATTTTACTGTATTGCCATACGATATATTCAATTTGTTTTTAATGTGATTGTGTTATTTGGATATTCTCTGCTGTGAAGAATTCATGAAAATTTCACATGTCAGACTTCAGAGAGAAATCTATGAGAATACATTCATGTATCCTGAGCAGAATTCACGTTTTATCTGAACTTTGGGTTATTTTTTCCAAAATAGTTATAACCAATTTAGTTACTATGACGAAACATAACCAGTGCACAGTTTTAAGAGTTCTCAACAATTCAACAGACCAGATTTATTAACCTATCAATTTTAACTAAGGTTAAAAATATTCTCTATCTTGCTCTTGTTCTTCCAAAGTGGTGTATTGGTTATTTCGCTTTATCTTTAATTAGAGGTTTTGAGTTTAAGCTCAGTATGGAGAAAAATCTGTTGAGATGTCCCAGCCACGTAGAAGTTGCACTCTTGCCACATGTTGATTAAATAGAATAAAAAGCAAATGAGTATTAATCTCAACTCCGATAATTAATATTGCTTCTATATACTTTAAAAAAGAAATGTAATCTAGTATATATACTCCTTGATTTTCATTTTGCCTTGTTATTAATTTCACATACTTGCTAACTATTAATCCTATTTTTTCTTTTAACAAATCAAGAAATGACAATTTTTTTAAATTTATAATACCCTTAATTAATTTCAAAAAATGTAGAATTGAAATATCTTAAAGTTTCAATTCCGATTAAAAGAAGCCAAAATGATAAATTTATTATATTAATTATTGTTCTTTTAATATGTGTTAATTCAAAAGTGGAAATATATTTAGGGGCAGAGGGAGTAAATACAAGTTATAGCAAAAGAACTATACATAGACATGTTACCAGAAACATGGATTAATTTTTGAGTTACTAATGAAATAAAAAGCTCCTAGAAATTAGAATGATATGTATACAACTCAATTGTTTATATGGGCTCAGTAAAATATAAAAGTTTGGTGTAGAGTTAATTTTTAAAAGCTCTTAAATAATGAGATTTGATTAAAATATAATTTTTTTTATGTTTGGGAATTTGGGTTATTTATCAAAAATATTTGTCAAATAATGATAAATTATACGGACAAATATTATTTGTCTAATTTTTCTTCAAATTTTACTTGGAAAATCTATGACCAAATGGGTCCTAAGAGTTCTCAACAATTCAACATATCAGATTTTTTAACCGAACAATTTTAACTGGAAAATGCTAAATGATCAGAAAATTTGGTCAAATTTTGGCCAGAAAATTAAAAAAAATTATAATATTTTTTTATTTTAAAACAAATTGATTTTTTTTTCATTTTTTAGTTAAAATGTATTAAAGTTAAAAGGATAAAAATATTTTAAAAGGTAAAATAACATAGATTAAATGTCATTCTGCCCAAAAAGATTTTTCCATTTTAACTAAGGTTAATAATACTCTCTCTAACTTGCTATTTTTCTTCCAAAGTGTGGTTATTAAATTAACATGAGTTGTGGTTGATTACTACTTTATCTTTAATTAAAGATTTTGAGTTTAAAGATTTTGAGTTTAAGTTGAATATGGAGAAAATACCGTTTGTGCAGCCATGCGTAGAAGTTGCACTGTTGCCACATGTTGATTATATAGAATGAAAAGCAAATGAGTACTAAATTCAATTCCCAAAATTAATGTTGTTTGTATACACATTTAAAAATGAAATGCAATTTAGCATATATACACCTCGATTTTAATTTTTTGCTTGTTACTAATAATCGCATATTTCTTAACTATTTATCTACTATTTTTTTTTTTTATTGGTTCATTTTGACAAATCAAGAAAGAATCATTTTTTTTTATCATTTTGAAAAATGTAAAACTTCCTAAAAAATTTAAATTTTTAATTCATCCATTCATAACTAAAATAGGGTAAAATGACAAACGCATTATGTTAATTATTTTTTTAATAGATGTGTTAATTCAAAAGTGGATAAATAATTAGAGACAATAGGGAGTAATAACAAGTTATAGCAAAACAACTATACATAGACATGTTGTTACCAGAAACATGGATTGATTTTTGAGTTACTAATGAAATAAAAAGCTCCCAGAAATTAGAATGATATGTATACAACTCATTTGTTTATATGGGCTCAGTAAAATTACAAGAGAATGCTTTGGTAATATGGGCGAAATTTGTTGGTGCAGGTAGAGCTTTTTTGTGAGTCTCCATAATTTCAATTTCCCATAGAGTTGCTTTTTTCCTATGAGGAACATCATGGGTAACAATGTTCCTCCATGGTGGTATTCCTCCAAAGGGTCTCAGGAAATGGCCATATCGCGTCTTTAGACGAATTTGATATAACGATCCATCTTGTTCAGCCTCCCATTCTGTTGCGGAACATAGTTTCTTAGGCAACGTCTGCATGACCTTTCTTGATCCCGTTACCTGTTGAGACATAATATAAATAGGAATGTTGTCGTGAGATATCTGATCTAATTTCCAGTTTCCACTACAACAAAAGCCCTCGTAGCTAAGTTGGTTGACTATCTGGACTCTTGATTCCCCACATCCTACCCCCAATTTGGAAAAATGTGATGAAAATGATGGTTGAGAAATTACCTTAGGAAGTAATGGAACATTTGAAGCTGTCAAGTACTTTCCATGACAACTTTTAAGGCGCAAGTATTGTTGGCCATCCAAAAATTCAACGGCCCAAAGTGCATTTACAGTTGAGCCATCACGTTTTTGGCGTATAGATTTCTCATCATTGCTTGCTGTGAGGTATTTTCCATTGTGCGTTTTCAGACGAATAGTTTTCGCATTCTCCAAGTATTCCATATGCTAATTAATTCCAAGCCTCAAATTCAAAATCGCTCAGATTAATTACAAACTTGAAGAAAATGTTACTAATTTAATTAGGAAAAAACAAACTCTTATATACAATCTATGATGATTATGACTATTAACATTCAAAAGACCCTTTTGTATACATGCATGAGAGAATTGATCTTTGGAGGATTGAAAGATGTGCACATATATTTGAAAGGGTCTTTTGAAATTATTAATATATGGGAGAAGCCAAAGTCTAAAGTGAAGCTAATTCAAATGATATTTGCAAATACCATTTTGTTCTTGTTATGAGATGTAACCTCTTTTGTTTTACCAGTGTTTCATTGTTTGGCCAAGATACATTGTTGGAGAACATTTCGGAAGTGCGGTAAGATATATGTGGGGGAGAATTTCGATCTAAGTTGTATATTTTAGTTCGGAGAAAATGTTATAAAATTACCCCTTAATTATAAGAGTAGGTTTAAAATGGTCTTTTAACTATTCACTTATTGAATTTAATTCATTAATTATTTAAAAAATTTATCAGGTTTGATCTCTTAACTACACTTACTGATTTTGAATATTCGAAGGACTAAATTTGGTAAGTGAGTAATTAAGGGACCGTTTTAAACCTACTTCTATAGTTAATGGACTATTTATGACATTTTTTCTTTTAGTTTGCATAGTAAGGACAAGACATTTGAATTTCGACGTGTTATAAAATATTTTTATATTATACACATTTGATTTAAATTTAATTTTTTTTTATGTGCTTTTTTAAATGTCAAGTAGGTAGATAGATAAGTTAACCATTAAAAAAATATTACTTCTATTAATCACACACTTTCAACTCAATAAGTTGTAAAATCTAAGGTGTTTTCTAATTAAAGCTGAGAGTGTATATAATTTAAGGACATGATATACTCCTCCTCCTTGTGTTCCAAATTACTTATCCCCTTTTAAATTGACACGCCTATTAAGAAAATAATAATTAATATAGCGAGTTTACTATTTTAATCTTATTTAATAATGAAGAATTCAAAATTCAAGAATTTTAAGAAGTTCTATCTTTTTAAAATTAATTAATTGAGGATACAATATGTAAAAATAATTTATCCTTTCTTGATTTATCAAAATGGACAAATAAAAAATGAAAATTAAACAAATAATTATGAACAAAGAATATTTCATATGATTAACTTAACTCTACTCAATGGTAATAGCTAAATACAAGAATTGCACCGATACTTAACCTAATACCTTATGACATGTACACAGTCATACAACACTATCCATGTTTCCAAAGACACCTGTCGTTCAAGAAAATTCGCAACACTTGAAAACATGCAAAAGAAATTTCCAAAATCTTAAAATGTCTTTATATGACCCTTTTTAATGTGTTTAGTTGCCTAATTAAAACGAATTATTGTAAAAATATCTAAACGAAAATTACTCACAAGTTCATGACTGGGTGTGCCTTGTCAAACTGGCCGACAATTTCACATGAGAATCAGGAAAAATAGAGTATCAACATGTGCTGATTAATTAAGCATCCCAAACGCCAAATTAATGAAACTCTACTTATAATATGTCCACCGACGTGACACCTCGCTCCATCTGTTCCGTAATAATTGTCATGTTTTATTTTTCAAAAATTATTGATCCTTTTTAAAGTTAATTTATTTAAAATTTTAATATTAAAAAAATATATGAAAAATATTATATATAAATTGTAATTTAAAATATAAATATAGGAAAGGAAAACATCCATCAAAGTTATAAGTAATTTGTCTCATAAAAAGTAATATGTGACAAATCATGAAACGAAAAGAGTAATTACTTGAGTTAGGACTGATCAACAGGAAACAAAGTAAGTAAAAGAACAATATAATACATTGATTTAGAAACAAATTTTAAAATTGAATTTTATGAGTTTGCATTCATAATTCTACTACTTTCATCAAACTTAATGTACTGAGTTTATGATCTAATATTTATATATATTTTATAAATTTATTGACACATATATATAATCTAAGCCGAAACATGTTCAAAGCTTACTCATCGGATAAAACACTTCATAATTGGCCTAAGGCTTGTCAATGAATAAGATTTTGATATGAAAAATGAGATAAATCAAATTATCTCATAAATTAAGATATTTCATGGGATTGGTTATCTATCATATATATATGAAATAATTATCTCATCATTATATTACAAATATGAAATAAATAATGTTAAAATTAATTAATAT